GTGCTATTTCGGAGGTCTGCTTCCACTCTTTGATGAAGTTGTACGCTTGAGGGCTTCTCCCAACATAAGGGTGGTCAATGACATGGGGCATGAGTGGTTGTCTGCCACATACTATTTCAAAAGGGGTTTTCCCTGTTGACGAGCTTTGTTGGCAATTGAAGATAAACTAAGCAACATCGAGCATCTGAACCCAATTCTTCTGTCGCGCATCAATAAAATGACATAAGAACTCCTCAAGCATACTGTTGAACCTTTCTATTTGTCCGTCAGTTTGGGGGTGATAACTCGAAGAGACATTTAGGCTCGACTCCAATAGCTTGAACAATTCAGTCCAGAAGGTCCCTGTGAATCTTAGATTGCGATCGTTGACAATGTTGGTGGGAATGCTACAACTTGACTCGTGTAGGAAAATAATTGTGCGGTCACTTCAGCCGAGCATGACTTGCAGGTTGGGATAAATGTGGCATATTTAGAGAATCTGTCAATGATGACCAAGATCGACTCCATTTCTCCTACCTTGGAGAGGTGTGTGATGAAATCCAGAGAAACACTTTCTCACGATCGGGACGGAACCAGTAGAGGTTCTAGTAGTCCCACGATTTTGTTTTGTTCAACCTTGTTTTGTTGGCAGATAAGATAGGTCTTTGTGAATTGTATCACATCATCGCGGAGGTTCGACCAATAGTACCCCCTTGTTAGGAGGGCATAGGTTCTCTGCCACCCGTTGTGGCCCGCCCATGCCCATGGTGTGTCGTGGCACTCTTTTAGTAGGAGTCTCCTCAAGTTCTCTGAATGGGAGATGTAAAGACGTTTTCCTTTGGTGAAGAGTAAATTGTCTTCAACTCAAAACTGGTGAGTCTTCCTCTCTCTGGCTAGTTGCATGATGGCCTGAGCAGCCGGGTCTTTGGCTAGGTGTTCCTCGATACTTTTTCGTATCGTTCCGCTCAACTTACTTGCTTGTAGGTGAGCCAACATGCACAAGGCCACATGTTCGCTCTTTCGACTTGGTGCGTTTGTGAGTGTATAAATAATGTAAACCCTAGGTATGAATTAATGGAGCAAAACAGACATAAAAATAAAAATAAAAATAAAAAATGGCATAATCTAGTTTTCTTGCCATCTCTTCGATTGTCCTTTTAGTTCCGTTCTTCAATGGATGGTACATGTAGCTTCCCAAAACGACATCGTTTCCACCTTCTGCAAGAAAACTAGGAAACCCTTCTTTTTGCTTTAATGTGTTGAAATCTGGGGCACCACATACCAAAAAGGGCTAGCCACCTTCACCCTCAACCTCGCCCACGACAAGGCTGCTCAAAGCCGTGCCCTCGCCAAGTCCCTGGCGTCCAAGGCAGCTGATCCCAAGCTTAAGGAGCGCTATGCCACCTGTGCTGAACACTATGACGATGCCGCTGACGACATCGAGGATGGGAAGAACTACTTGGGGAAAGGTGACTACTATGGCGTCTGCAGCCATGACGGAGGCTGGCGACTGTCTGGACAGCTTCATGCGGCCGCCGAAGGACCCATCGGCGCTGTCAGACAATGGGAAGGCTGTGGAATATATTTGTAGTATCATCTTGATTATAGACAATCTTAACTTCTTTTTCTTCAACCTTTCTTCATTTTATACTACAAACCTCTATACTTGGAATGTCATGAATCAATAATATGTCTGTTGTGAATCCTATAAATTTAGACATCGACTCCTTCACATTTTAGACCTAAATCTAATATGAATCGATAACCTGACTAATCTAAGGTCACTCGATAACTCTTACCGCTCTCAAATTTTAAAGGTCACAAGTTCTAGTTCGTGAGTCAAAAGCTGCACATAATTTCCTCTTAATGAGTTATAGACTCCTCAACCCACATGAAAGAAACTAGTTTGAATCAAAATGAGTGTGGAGGGAGAATTGCCCAAATTGTTTAAAAGCTTACTAGATTTCATTTTCTTTTCTTCTCAAAAATTTTTATTATTCATAACTTTTTTTGGTTAGGTTGGTTTGTTTTATCTTTTTGGATTGAGTCGGTTGGTTTCAAGTTTATAGGCGCAAAAATTAGGTCATGAATCGACCCAATTTCATTAAAAAAAAAAAAGAAAAAAAAAAAAAGAAAAGGCTAGTGGAAGGCCAAAAGTTTTTTTTTAGAGTATTGTCATCTTGAACTCCAAGAAAAGGCTTAGGCACTAAGAACTTTACTTTACTTTGTTATTCTGGATTGTGCCTCGAGTTTGGAGTTTGACACTTCAATCCATCGCAACTCTTACCACATCACGGGTAGTTTTTATATCTTTAAAAAGGTTTGAAACCATCTAAGCCATCACTTTTCGGGAGTTTTCTAAACCTTCGACAAGCTCCTTCATGTAGGCAATAAAGTCCGTCGAGCTACCCTCACGCTCGATGCCACCCGTTTGAATAACTTTATTTGACCCATGGTCTCAACCATGTGCATCAATTCTTGGATGGGTATCTCATCTAGGTAGCCACCTAACAATCAATCTTATCAACTTTTATGATAATCTCACTCATACAAGATTTCACAAGTCAAAGATCGTCAAAGATTTCTCGTAAATAAAACGTCAGTTCTTCCATCTCAACCAACCATTAACGTGGAACATGCTAAGCGCACATGTTTGTTAAATTGAATTCTAGGAGAAAGCTTGACTCTCATACCAACCATCACAATCACATTCTTTTAGGACTCACAATGCGATCGTTGCGCCATTTACTCTTGTCCTCGAGTAAGTAAGACAACTAAAATTTAGGTTGTCATTGGTATAGATGAACTATGCAAAAGTCTCTACCCCACTCTTAAAAAATAAATTTTAAAAAATGAGGTCAGAGAAAGGTAAATAAAACATTTTAAAATCAATTTGAGAAAGTAATGTTATAAGCTTACAAGCAATAAGGAACAATAACAATATTCATAGCATATAATCTCGATTGGAAGGATTGACAACCATCGTATCTCCCTATAGTGCATTTTGAGACCAATCAACTTTGACAAGGATAGACATACACATAAATTAAAATGATAAAATAATAAATAACTTACATTGAAGTAAGGTAAAAGGGTTTAGAATGGACATGCAACACACCCGTGTCAACCATGACTATGACATCAAGCTCAAAATTAACCCATAATGCGGACAGATGTTGAACCCAACAGCCTCGCCCCATGTCCACGAAGTCTTTAGACAGTCAAATCTGAGTGCCCTCAACCAGACCGTAATCCACGAAGCAAACCGAGCAAATCGTAAATGCATGCTCAGAACTAAATGCGAGCAACCCATCCCTCTGTATGCTCCCAGACGCCTCCATCATATGAAATAAGCGTGCAGGTCAATGAAGAGTTATATGAAATAAGCCCCCATCCCTATGCATACGAAATAAGCCCCAGACGCCTCCATCATATGAAATAAGCCCCCATCTCTATGCATACCACGGGATGAAGAAATTTAGAAGGATATTATAACTAAAGCCGACTATATGTCTTATACGTTCTACCCTAAAAGTATGAAGATGTATGAGGGCTTAAAGGCTAGTTACTAGTGGCAAGGAATGAAGAGTTATTGAGTGTGTAGGTCAATGTTTGACCTTTATCAATAGGTAAATAAATCGAGATAACGCCCTTCAGGCTTGTGGCAACTGCTAATGTTTCTCAATGGAAGTGGGAAGACGTGATTATTGACTTTATCTTGGATTTGTCAAACACCAAGCAGAATTTCACAAATATTTGGGTCATTCAAAGATATGTGGACCAAGACAACTCACTTCATTCTTAGAAAAATCACATACCAAGTGGACAGGTGGACTCAGTTGTATGTTTAAGAGATAGTTCATCTACACGGTATTCCAATTTTCATCATGTGAGATCAGGAAACAAGGTTCACCTCGCACTTCTAGAAGGGTCTACATAAGATGTTGAGTATGTATTTGAGGTTAAGTACGACTTTTCATCCACATATGGATGGATAAATAGAGAAACTGAACTAGAATCTAGAGGACATGTTGAGGACATTATGTTATAGACTTTGTTGGTTGTTGGGATGAACACTTGTACTTAATGGAATTTTCTTATAATAATAGTTACATGTGACTATGTAGATGGCAGCCTTAGAGACTCTATACACGTGTAGATATCAAACTTCTATCTTCTAGGAAAGGTAGGTGAGCAACAACTTCTAGGGTCGGAGTTGGTTTAGATTATTAATGCAACAGTACAAAAAATCAGATAAAGAATACTGAAGGCACAAAGAGGGCAAAAGCACTACGAAGACACTCGTATGAAGGAACTTGAGTTTGTTACTAGTGATCATGTCTTTCTCAAAGTTGCACATATGATAGGGGTGTTGAAATTTGGGAAGAAAGGCAAGTTGCACACAAGATTTGTAGGTCCCTTTGAGATCCTAAAGAAAATAGGACTAGTGACATACAAATTGGCACTACCACCTACATTTGTCACCATACATAACGTGTTTCAACTTTAGAAGTATACCCTAGACTCTTCATATCTTATCGGACATGATTCACTTTTTTTTTAGAGAAGGATTTTTCATATGGGAGAAGTACATGAAGATACTAGTTAGAGATGGGATGGAACCATTCGGATGTTCACTTGAAAAGGCACGGGATAAAGAAAAGAAAGAAGAAAAAGAAAGAGAAGAAAAGAGGATAGAGTTTTGGAAAGAGAGTTAAAGAAAACAATATTCCACCGCTGGATTCGATGACTTAGAGTCAGTTTTTGCCAAGCTTTCTTCACGGAAATTGCTTAGAACGTTTTGATCTGTTGATCTGTTGATCTAAACTTTTGAATCACCCGAATGTGTTAAGAAACGAGGAAAAATCTAGTGTAAGAGTTACGAGTTTTTGGCAAATATTTTCTTTATAATCAAGTATTTAGATATTTAATCAGTTCTAGAAATTATTCATTAGGTATTAGGAGATCATTTTGAACAAATCTTGGGAAGGAACTTTACGGCGACGGAATTGTTAGAGCCGATGTTCCTTTTCGAAGAGCAGAATCGAAGTATAGTGTTGAACAGGTCGGTNTCTCATCATATTGCAGCAGGTACATTGGGCATATTAGCGGGCCTATTCCATCTTAGTGTTCGTCCGCCCCAACGTCTATACAAAGGATTACGTATGGGAAATATTGAAACCGTCCTTTCGAGTAGTATCGCTGCTGTCTTTTTTGCAGCTTTTGTTGTTGCTGGAACTATGTGGTATGGTTCAGCAACTACCCCGATTGAATTATTTGGTCCCACTCGTTATCAATGGGATCAGGGATACTTCCAGCAAGAAATATATCGAAGGGTTAGTGCCGGGCTAGCCGAAAATCAAAGTTTATCAGAAGCTTGGTCTAAAATTCCTGAAAAATTAGCTTTTTATGATTACATCGGGAATAATCCCGCAAAAGGTGGATTATTCAGAGCGGGTTCCATGGACAACGGGGATGGAATAGCTGTTGGGTGGTTAGGACACCCTGTTTTTAGAGATAAAGAAGGGCGCGAACTTTTTGTACGCCGTATGCCGACCTTTTTTGAAACATTTCCGGTTGTTTTGGTAGACGGCGACGGAATTGTTAGAGCCGATGTTCCTTTTCGAAGAGCAGAATCGAAGTATAGTGTTGAACAGGTCGGTGTAACTGTTGAGTTCTATGGTGGTGAACTCAATGGAGTCAGTTATAGTGATCCTGCTACTGTGAAAAAATATGCTAGACGTGATGCTTTCAGCAGTTATCCGCTCCGCACTTGGCTACCCAGCGTTTACCGTGGGCACGATAGTAACAAGGTATTTAAAAATTTGAGTTCCATTCAAGGTCAAAGATGGGTAACTTTTAAGAAATTACCCCAAATTTGAATGAAATTAACTTGGTTGGTAGTTCTAAGCGCACTTGGGGTGGATTAAAAATTGAAAGAAATTAAGAAAAATTGCAAAATTTGGGTGCCCGTGTTTGGGGTGGATTAAATCTAAGCGCACTCATGGAGGTGGTAGGACATGCGCCGACCCTACGTTCATTGAAGGAAAATCAATGAGGCAACATTTTGCGAGACTCGATGGTGTGCTCTTGGCGGACACATGCCATACCAATAAAAAAATAATAATAATACTAATGTCTTACATTCGCCTCGACTCAAAGCCAAGAATACTCGTGTCATGAGTGGGATGCGTGTCAAGTAGTGAAATTTTTTTGAGAGTTTATGTTAACTTATGCTTAAATTAAGGGCCGCAACGACTGGCCGAGATATTTGCACGTGAGCCCGTTGCGAATGAAATTGCGCATAGAAGCCTTTCTAGCCACGCATGGGGCGCGTGAAGGTTCGTGGAAGGTGATCTTTTGACTATTTCACCCCATACTAAAACCAAAATGACGTGAATTATGACTATTTAGTGGAATTTTTAGAGATTTGGAGCACTGAAAATGACATGCCAGAAGAGTGAGTTGTCTTTCTACTTAACACATTGGCTACTATGTTAGCTTTACATGGATGATAAAGGATCTTGGTACCATAATCCTTTACGAACTCCAACTATCTCGTTTGTCCCATCTTCAACTCTTTCTGCGTAAATAAGATACTTGAGGCTCTTATGGTTAGTAAATACCTTTACCTTTTCACCGTACAAGTAATGTCACCATATTTTTAACGCGAACACCACAGTTGCTAACTTCAAATTGAGAGTTAGATAGTTACGCTCATATTTCTTAAGCTATTAGGAGGCAAGTACAATCACTTTGCCAACAACACCAACCTGCAACCCTAGCCCTTTCCTCGAGGCATTGTTGTACACCATGAGATTACTATACCATCCAATAGTGCGAGTACTAGCGCATACATAAAAAAAATTCTTCAAGCTCTTGAAAAAATCTACTCATGTGTCATTGTCCAAAGAAAGACTTACCCTTCTTAGTTAACTTTGTCAATGTTGCAAATATTTTGAAGAAGTCTAAAACAAACCTTATGCTATAATCTTGGTTCCCAAAACGATATCGTTTCCACCATCTGCAAGAAAACTAGAAACCCTTCTTTTTGCGTAAACATGTTAAATTTTGCTGGCACCACAGACCTGAAATAGCTGGCCAACTTCACCCTCAACCTCGCCCAGTCCCTGGCGTTGAAGGCAGCAGATCCCAAGCTTAAGGAGCGCTATGACGCCTTGTGCTAAACACTTCGACGATGTTGCCGAAGACATGGTGGATGGGAAGAACTCCTTGGAGTTTGGTGACTACAGTTTGGTCAACATTACAGCGGCTGCAGCCATGTCGGACGTCGACGACTGTTTGGACAGCTTCACGCAACCGTCGAAGGACCCATCGGCACTGTCTGGCAACGGGAAGGCTGTGGAAGATATTTGTAGTATCATCTTGGTTATAGCCGATCTTCTTCTTGGGCATGACTACTCTTTTCTTCAACTTTTCTTCATTTTATACCACAAACCTCTGTACTTGGAATGCCATGAATCAGTAATATGTCTGTTTTGAATCCTATAAATTTGGACATAGACTCCTTCACATTTTAAGCCTAAATCTAATATGAATCGATAACCTGACTAATCTAGGGTCACTAATAACTCTTACTGCTCTCCAATTTTAAAGGTCATAGGTTCAAGCTCGTGAGTCAAAAGCGACACATAATTTCCCTTTTAATGAGTTATAGGCCTCCTCTGCCCACGATGAAGCTAAAGAAACTAGTTTGAATTAAAATGAGTGTGGAGGGAGAATTGCCCAAGTTGTTCAAAAGCTCGGAGATTTCATTTTCTTTGCTTCTCAAATTTTCATTATTCATAACTCTTTTGGTTAGGTTGGTTTGTTTTATCTTTTTAGATTATGGGTGGTTTATAGGCACAAAAACTAGGTTATGAACGGACCAATTTCATTAAAAAAAAAAAAATAAAAGAAACCAGAGATTAAAGTACGACATTTTGGTCTAAGTTCATTTTGTAAATTATAATTAAAAAAAAAAAAAAAGAAAAAAGAAAAACTCGATGAGTTAACCCGGCGAGTTGGCAGCTGAATTCCAAAATGCCCTCCTTTGTTAGGATAGCTCACGTTATCCAAATCATGCAATCGGAGAGACCACCTTAAAGACCACATCTGCCACGTCACCATCCTTCACCAATCAAAACACTGCATTGGATTTCTCAGCTTCACCCACTCCGATAGCCAACCACAAACCTCAATCCGACGTGGCATGTCCACATCCACCAAACCAACCATATAGCGCCTACGTTCTCCCCACCTAATCTTCACCATTTACAACATTTTTGCATCCATTCATTCTTCCTTGCTCTCACCTTCTCAGTCTCTCCGGTCATGGCCTCCTTGGCAGCCTCCACCGCCGCCGCCTCGCTCGGTGTCTCTGAAATGCTGAGAAATCCCCTCAGCCTCTCCGGCGCCTCCGCCAGGTCAGCGTCCTCTGCTTCTAGCCCGGTGACCTCCAAGATCGTGGCGATTTTCGGGAAGAAGCCAGCCGCCGCTCCCAAGCCCAAGCCCTCCGCTGTCTCTCCCGTCAATGACGAGCTCGCCAAGTGGTATGGTAAGTCCAACCGTTAAGAACGAGAAACAGAGGTGGGATCAAAAGTGTTTCGATCTCTATCACTTTTCTTCTGTTCTTCCTCTTTCTATTGCACTAATATCAGGTTAAAAATGAGAAACAGTATGAAAATTGTTGCTCAATTGTGTTCTATTTATTTTCGTTCATTAATTTAATTTACAAAATTCAGTCTTATTTCTAGTCATAAAGCTTAGAAATAGTGATAATTCACACGCTTATACATATTTTCTTGAGCTGATCTTGAGTGTATTCATCGGCATTAATTAGGCCCCGACAGGAGGATTTTCCTCCCCGACGGGTTATTGGACCGATCCGAGATCCCCGAATACCTGAACGGAGAAGTCCCCGGAGAGTATGACTTAATTTCTTATCCTCTTTCTTATAATTTTCTTAAGCTTCGTTTGATAATCATTTAATTGGGTTGATTACAGCTACGGTTACGACCCCTTCGGACTCAGCAAGAAACCAGAGGACTTCAGCAAGTAAATAAAAATTCTGAATTAATTTAGAATTGAGTTGAAGTAGTAAAGAAGAGCTTAGTGGGTTTGTTTATTGGCAGATACCAAGCATTTGAGTTGATCCACGCACGATGGGCCATGCTTGGAGCTGCTGGGTTCATCATCCCTGAGGCCTTCAACAAATTCGGTGCCAACTGCGGCCCTGAGGCTGTCTGGTTCAAGGTCCACTTCTCTGCACTAATAATCTCTGTTTGGAAGTGCTTTTAAGCTAAAACTGCTCAATTCTGATCCAATATGGGATGTTGCAGACTGGAGCTCTGCTTCTTGATGGAAACACATTGAATTACTTTGGAAACAACATTCCGATCAACCTCATTGTCGCGGTCGTTGCAGAGGTTGTTCTTGTCGGTGGTGCAGAGTACTACAGAATCATCAATGGCTTGGTACGCTTTGAATGATGAAAAATTATGAAAAGGGTATGAAGTATTTGAGCTGAATGATGGTTTTGTGTAGAACTTTGAGGACAAGCTCCACCCGGGCGGTCCGTTCGACCCGTTGGGGCTGGCGGACGACCCGGACCAGGCGGCGATCTTGAAGGTGAAGGAGATCAAGAATGGAAGACTGGCAATGTTTGCAATGCTGGGGTTTTACTTCCAGGCCTACGTGACCGGAGAAGGGCCGGTGGAGAATTTGGCGAAGCATTTGAGCGATCCTTTTGCAAACAATTTGCTCACAGTCATTTCTGGGAATGCAGAGAGAGTTCCAACTCTTTGAACACTGCAAGTTTGAGTATTGAATGGAAGCGTTGAATGTGTTTGTAAATTTGTATTGAGACTATTTGTAGCCTCTGACCACTCACTCTCAGTGCATTTAAAAGAGCTATGAACAAGAGCTTGATATCAAAATTTCTGTCAAATTGTGTGTGTAAACTGTGGGGTGGGTTGGTGCATAATTTCTCTATTTTCTACGCAATTCAACCTTAATATATATATTTAAGTAGCCTATGTGCTTTCATGATTCTTAAATTAATCGTATAAAGTTAATGTTTAATGAAACCAATTGAATAATAACCAATGAAGTATAAGGATGAAATGATATTCTAACCATTTAAATTTAGTTGGGTCACTTTATTTAATTATTAATGAGGAGAGATATTAAGGAGATAGACTAGTGGTAACCTAAAAGCCCAAGTCCACCTCGAGTAAATATTGTTCTCTCTAAGTTTTTCCTATCGTGATTCTCCTTTCCAAAAACATGTTTGTTAAAGAGATGTTTCCACACCCTTATAAAGAAATGTTTTGTTCCCCGCTCCAACCGATGCGAGATCTCACAATCCACATCCTTTGAGGCCCGCATCCTTGCTAGCATTCGTTCCTTCCCAATCGATGTAGGATCTCAAAATTCACCCCCTCCTTTCAGGCCCAGCGTCCTCGCTGGCACACCGCCTGGTGCCACCTCATTCGGGGCTTAGTGTCTTCGTTGGCACACCGCTAGGCCTCGAAGGGGGTGGATCGTGAGATTACACATCGATTGGAGAAGAGAATGAACCATTCTTTATAAAGGTGTTGAAACCTCTCCCATGACAGACACGTTTAAAAAACCTTAAGGAAAAATCCGAAAGGAAAAGTTCAAAGAAGACAATATCTGTTAGAGGATGATTTTGAGCTGTTACAGGTGGAGCAAGGTTTGAAATTACGAAAAATGGCTATGAAAATTTCCAAAAATAGCCAATAGGTCAAGCAAGTTGAGAGCACAAGAACTTCTAGTCGAAAAGAGTAGAGGGGAGAATCAAGTATTACATCAAAGTCATCCATGCTTGCTGAGAGTTTCGAAAATAAAAATCAGGTAACCATAAATTAAAAATGCATCAACACCAAATATCTGTAGAGAAGTAAGATTGCCGAAGTCAAAAGAGATGGAATGACAAGAGTCTCACTTAGTAATCAATAAGAATATGAAAACTGTCGAAAGATATCTGCGTAATCTCATTAAACGATTAAATAAGGGAAGTAGTTGGGATAGTGAATTGAATGTTGAGGATAATAATCTATGAACTTAAGATAGTGTGTAGCAATAGGAATGTGTTTCGGCAGATTGATTGATGCTTTGATTACATACAGCATCTTTGTCCTCTCATAAAAATTTCATATTGCCTCATTATCATCAAATCGCATCTAATATCAATATAAATACAAGAAACTTACATCTTTTTAACTCAACTCAACGATGAATCTCCGGAAATGAAGTTGCTTCATGGAGTACCCACCCGATACAGTCCTTGAGCTTCCCCTTTTCTACTTCAGTGGCTTCATACCCTGTAAATCTCAAAATTCATTATTATATTTATGATACACTATTGAAAAATATGTCAAATAGAGATTTTGATGAATAAAACCCATTTGGGTTGGCCATTCATTGCCAAGAATCAGAATTCTGTGAAAGAGTAAACTGCTGCTGCATATTAATCAATTCCGGCCATTCACAAGCATCTTCATCTTTGAGATTTCTACCAAAGTGAAGGTTCCAAAGGCTTCTGTCCGGTTCTCAGGTCTCCTTTA